CCTCTGTGTGTGTGTGTGTATGTGTGTGTGTGGGGATGTGAGAGTGTGTGTTCTCATGTGCCTGTGTGAATGCGGAATAGGTTTCAATTGCCCACATCTCTGTGCGCGAATGTGAGTATGCGTGAGTGTGGGTTTGAAAGTGTGTTCGCATGCCCACTTGCCTACGTCCGTGTATGCGAGTGTGCGTATGTGAAAGTGCGTGTTTTCATGTGTCTAGCACACCAGTGAGTATGTGTAAGTAAGTTGTGACGAAGAGATCGGCTTGTGTGTAATGCGGTCGAGTTGTTCCATCGAGGACGGTGTGATACAGTGGCCGGCCGGTTGACGGTCGCCGATCCCGTTTCTGAGCCGAGGCCTCGAGATCAAACTCACATGTCGCTCGAAGGGTGGGAGGCCTGTATTGCCGAAACTGCCGGAGAAGGCACACACTCTGAGCCTAGCCGCAATCCTGAAGAGAGGCTAAAGCAAAGTAGCAGTCTCGAGGGCACCCACAGCCACAGCCACAGCCACATCCACATCCACATTCACACCCAAACCCATGCCGGCATGAGGATAAGGCCAGAGGAGAAGTGCAGGCACAAGCACGGCCGCAGGCATAGACACTGACACAGTGGCGAACACATGCAGATGAATATTATGCCATTGTAACGCATAACGGCTGTATGAAAGGTACAGATGCGAGGTCGGCTCAGGCCCAGTCTTGCCATCTCAAAAGGAAACAACACTCCCAGTTACTCTAGACCGAATAAGCTAAAGAAGGACTGTTGATTGCAATTTCCCAAAATCTGTTCAGCAAGCCTCACTTGTTCACGGAATTTGCGATTAATTGAATTAATAGGGGGGACCTTCATTTTGGGTGAAAGTGCATGAAGAAGAGATTCGTTGGTCGATCTCGCCAGATGCCATGACTCATACACATACACACACACACACACAAACAATAATGAACTGAACCTGACATGCAAAGGAGCCAACCAAATCATGCGTTATCCATCCGTATCCACCTTCTTTTGTGGTTGCGACTGGCTACAACATG